CCTTATATACAGGGTGATTACCTGACTCGAGCATCTAAAATATCTCACTTGTTTGTTATAATAGAAAAAAATGTCAGAGGAAAACATTAGTTGATTCAGAGGGACAAACATTATAATAGGCAAGAAAATTTGTATTTCTTAAGATTTCAAGGTCATCAAAGTTTTTTTAAATAGAACGATATATTTTTATTATCGCTACATGATAGCCGAGGTCCAAACGAATCTAACGACCTGTAATATTATGACCTTCATATGACCTTCAGTACGGAAAATTCATATAAGTATGGCACTTGATGTAAATGTTGAAATAACAATGACAGAATAAATTGGATGAAATTTGAGAAAAATTTATTTCAACAAGTGCTCAAAATGATGTCCATTAACTTCAATACATTTATGTAACTGATTATTGAACGATGCTCTGACCCTCCTCATAATTTGATCACTGATATTACTACATGCGATTCTGATCCGTTCTCTCATATTTTCCGGTGTTGTGGGAATGTCGTTATAATCTTCTCAATTTATTCATGATATTCATTCATCCTAAAAAAAAAAATCTATAGGTGTACGATCCTGCGAATCGTCTATCGAATATCTGAACCATGACCGATTCAGCGTTGATGAATACTTGACGAGCTATTAATGCACTGAAAGCTATCGTTATTTCACCATTTACATCAAGTGCCCTAATTTAATGAATTCTTCGTACTCAAGGTTACGTGAAGGTCATAATATTACAGGTTGTTGGATTCGTCTCGGCTATCAGATAGCAGCAATAAAAATACATCATTCCATTAAAGAGAAACTTCGATGACTTTGCAATCTTAAAAAATATAACTTTGCACAAGTTTTTTTGCCTATCATAATTCCCCTTCTGGATCGACTAATATTTTCCTCTGACATTTTTTTCTATTATAACAAACAAGCGAGATATTTTAGATGATCGAGTTAGGTGAGACACCCTATATATTAGCTTCTGATGTATCAGTGTATATGTATACCTATACATATACATATAAATGAGAATGGAACTGAGGTCTAATGAGTTATTTATTCGTTCACTTATTTATTAATACAATACCTCAAACAGAACAGGTTCGAATTTCGTGACCATTAAAATTACCCAGAAAAGTCTTTTCTTATTAGTATGTACATGTTACAAGCTTCGATAAACTGTTCTAGGACTTTCGCAAAATGGAATAAAAATATGACATCCACTTGTTTCTTTCTGAATTGAATTCAAACTGGAGTACATACTCAGAACTAGTTGTATAGTATGTATAATTCATGTCGTAATTGCCATATTGCTAATGCGTTTCGTTAGCCCGCGACAAGCTGCTTTTCTTAAGGACGTATTGGCTATACAGTCAATCCCAAAAGTTTATGTACCTTAGAAAAACGCATTTCCTATAATTAAAAAGAAATCGGACATCCGAAGAATAATGCTAATAATAAATAGCTACGTGCTAAAAAGTATAGAAGGAAATATCCAATTAAGTATTGACGCTGACGAACAATTTTTTTTTTCAAAATTGCGAAAAATACTTCAAATAAAAGTTGTTTTCCTTCTAACTTCGATATTTAACGAGTTACGTATGATTATTTGGCATTTTATTGATGACAAAATCCGACTATCCGACAGCGTCGAAACGACGAACTTTTGTCAAAAAATTTCATTTTTCCTTAATTACTCCTAAACCGTTGAATCTACGGGAAAATTGTATACGACCTTTCTTGTAG